CAATGCATGAGAAACGACCTGAATTGTGTAAGATTTCTTTTCACAAATCATAATGAAAGCATCAAACATTTTGGCAAACTTTGGCAAATTCTCAATTGGAATTTTTAAATTATCAGCTAATGATCAAGGCATATGTAAACATGCCATACGAAAAAAATAGGAGCTTTTAGCCTGTTTGAAAAAGTCCAATTTTTGTGTATCCAGTATCCAGGACTAGGCTAAGCAGACAAAAAATTAAAATTTGCATGCAATTTTTTTTTTGGAAAATGATTTTTTGAGTACAAAATTCGATTTGCCGTTGAAAAAAACTTGAGGAGGCAATTTCAACTTAACTCAATTTCGCAAAAAATTTGAACGTGGCCATCAAAAAAATGCTAGTCCTACAATTTTCATATAAGGAAATTGTATGATAACCATTTTTTTCCAAAATAAGAAACATAGTAAGAGAAGCATTTTGGGTCTATGGAGGTCAACCCTGGAATTTTAAAAGCAGAAACAGATTGTGGAAAAAACTTATAGAACTCTTTTTTTTGGGAAAACGTTTCCATTCTTTCCCAATTATACGCATATATAAGTAAAACTGGCACATATTTTTATAACTGGTTCTCAACTTGCAAAGATCTATACCTAAATTTTGATAGCGTTGAAACTTGTGTCATACTTTGTTTAAGTTAACACGGGCTAACTACTACAAGATACGAAAACTAAACCTTTCTCAAAAGTCTGGTCTTAAAGCCCGGTCAAAAACTGGAGTAAATTTTTGCGATAAGATTTGTCTCATAAATTTTTTTTTTTATCTCAATACAATTAATAAAAAAATTGCTTGATGTGAAACATCTCGAGATAATTCAGTGAAAACTAGGAAAACTATGATCAGAAAATTTTTAAGATACCAATATCATTTCCGAAAGTTGTATCCACTTTTGAAATAACTGGTCCAGCAATTTGTGAAATAAAAAAGAGTATTAGACTACTTTGTTCCATTAATTACGAAAACAGATATGAATTATTTTTATTTAATTGTTTTTCTTTCAAAACGGAAATGAGATTAATTTAATCAAATTTTACAATTCTTCGAAAAAAATTCAGAAAATCGTTGACTATCTTTTTTGCTTACATCCGTGGGCATTTTGTTTCTTTCAAATCAACTCAAAGAGCTCGACATTTATCAAATAGAAAAATTAGGTTGAAAATAAACTCAAAAGTCAAAACTACTGTTGTTTTTCTAATTTTCCTCTTCACTTTTTTCAACATCAAGAAAACAAAGCGACTGAAAATATTTGATATAATTGAGCTATTTCGAAATCATGGGAAAATTCATAAAAACTACAGTGCTGATTTAAATTATCCGGAAAAACGAACAAAAACAAAATGGGAGAATTTAAACGAAATCAAAAAGTTAAACATATTTAATTTCAAGCGCTTTTTTGCAAAACTTGAGCCAAAATTTTACTCCAAAACTAACTATGTTTGGCTTATTATGGTATATACATGAAAAAACTAAAAAATTTAGTTCCATAGCGGACAAAACTATATGAAAATAAAGTCTAATATAACCCGAGGTTAAATTTTGCCCGAGGTTAAAGGATAAAGTTAAAATTTGTTTAGTTTTTTTTAGTTTTATATTTAAAATTTAAAATAACAATTGTTTTTAAAAACAATTTTACAACGCTTCGCTTGCAATTTTAGAGATATTTCCCGTCTTAAAACTTGCTGACCTACATAAAAAACTCGCCTTGGTATAGTTTTGTCAGCAATGAATCCAGTAATTCTGGTGTAATTTTTGATTGACTTAAAATGCCAAAAATGATCAGTTTTGGGTTGAAATCAATTGCAATTTAATAATTTTGTAATGAATCTGCTTTGTCTTCACCACTATTTGTCTTAACCTAACCCATTTTGATTTAAAAAAAACTTTTTCTTATTTCACGTTTTTATCTGCTGCTTTGGAACATTTCAACCAACACTGTATATTCTGATGTGATTTTTAATAATTAAATAAATAAAACCTGAGAAAAATATTAATTGAAAGGCCGTTCACTATATTTTTAAGCCATGATTAATGTGTTTCAAGTTACCACGAAAAATACAAACACGAACTCATAATAGAAAAAATACAAACACGAGCTCCAACGAAAAGAACGGTTGAAAACGAATATGGCACATAAAAATTATATAGATTTTTTGAAGGAAAAACACGAGCAACCAATATAGTCAAAAGTTCAGATTCAGCTAGCTTGATCAAATGCGCTTATTTTAGTTAATTTTGTGATGTAAACTTTTTGTCGAAAAAAATACATTTTTAAATTCATTTTAATCACGCTTTCTAAAGAGCCCTTTTTGTTTTAGCACTCGAAGAAAGAAAATTTTCTAAGATTTGGAACATACCTCTGCGACAATTTCAAGTCAAAATTACATCGTTCAAACTTAGAAACAATATTGAACGATGTAACGACGGGTCAAAATCACAGCAGATATGAGGAAGTTGACGAAGTTCTGAAGCTTCTATTGAAGCATAAGGGCACTGAGATTACTAAAAAAACTTTGAATGAAATTACTGCGGATAAATCTCATGCTCAATTAGTTCAAATTCCTATCGAAATTATCACTGTAGCAATTTGTGAGCTAATGGAAACAGATGAAACATTTGCTGATGCGGTTGGAATATTATCAACGCTTTCCCTGGCATCGTATTTCGGATCACTCAAGGAGGGGTACTCTGACATATCAATGAATGGCGCTTTATTGATTGCAGGAGAATATGCTGCCTTATTATATTACAAAATGCTTGACCGGTCATCTACAGAGATAGTCAAAGATCTTGTTAGTAAATCGCAAATTAAAGAATTGCAGAAAAAATTTACAGTGGAGAAAGAGAGAATTAATAAATTTGTCGATAATTATATATTTGTATGCGTGCGTGACGAGGATAAATGGTTGACCTCATTGGAAGAAAGGTTGACATCTTTTGCCACAAAAAACTCCGAAACCGAGAGAACGACCATTCGTGGACAACCCAGGCAGCAGCCGACAAATCCGACGAGTTCACGCCCTAAGACTAAGATTCAGGACGAACCAGTGCCTCCAAAATTGGAGAAGAGAAAAAACCCGAAGCTAGAGCGTTTTTCGTCATCATCATCAGGGGAAGATTTAGAACCCAAAAGTAAGCGGAAAAGAACCCTATGAGCGACAAGATATATTACCACAACAACGATTGGACACTCTTATATCATAACCACCAATTAAGTCTCACGGATTGGGGTAATTTGATTGCATAACACTCTTTAATTAAGCAAGGGGCTAATAACATTTTCATTTTGTGTCAGTTTGTTTGTATTTGTAACTAACCAAATATGATCCATTGCCCTAAGTTATGTTGGTAAAATGATCATTTTTTAACTTATATATTCTTTTCAATTTCTCATTTCAGATTCACAATAAGCTATTCACAAAAATTCAAAAAAAACTTTAATGAAATCGCGATAGATGCCTTCTAATTGTGTCAAACACTTTAATTAAGCACGGAGCTTACAATTTTTCCATTTTGAGGCAATTTGTTTGTATTTGAAGCTAGCCAATTATGATCCATTGCCCTAAGTTATGTTGGTAAACTGATCACTTTTTAATTTTATATTCTTTTCAATTTCTCAATTCAGATTCACAAAAAACTATTCACAAAAAATGTTTAAAAATTTTTTAATGAAATCCCAATAGAAGCCTTCTAATTGTATCAAACTGTTTAATTGAGCACGAAGCTGATATTTTTTTTCAGTTTGTGTCAATTTTTTTGAATTTGTAAATAGCGAATAATGATCGATTACCCTAAGTTATGCTGGTAAACTGATCGTTTTAAAATTTTTATATTCTTTTTAATTTCTCAATTCAGATTCACAAAAAGCTATTCATAAAAATTGAAAAAAAACTTCAATGAAATCCCGATAGATGCCTTCTAATTGTATTAAACTCTTCAATTAAGCACGGAGCTTACAACTTTTTCATTTTGTGGCAATTTGTTTGTATTTGAAGCTAGCCAATTATGATCCATTGCCCTAAGTTATGTTGGTAAACTGATCATTTTTTAATTTTATATTCTTTTCAATTTCTCAATTCGGGTTCACAAAAAACTATTCACAAAAATTTAAACAAAAAATTAATGAAATCCCAATAGAAGCCTTTTAATTGTATCAAAGTGTTTAATTGAGGACGGAGCTGATAACTTTTTCAATTTGTGTCAATTTGTTTGCATTTGTAACTAGCCAATTATGATCGATTGCCCTAAGTTATGTTGGTAAACTGATCATTTTTCAATTTCTCAATTCAGACTCACAAAAAGCTATTCACAAAAACTCAAAAAAACTTTAATAAAATTCTGATAGATGCCTTCTAATTTTATCAAACAATTTAATTAAGCACGGAGCTGATAGTTTTTTCCTTTTATGACAATTTGTTTGTGTTTTTTAATCGCCAATGATGATCCATTACCCTACGTTAGTTATGTCGGTAAACTGATCATATTGCGACCCGTTCGCAGTTTCGTTTAATTTCTTGCTTCTAGTTTTGGGTCTTCATACCTTAAAACATGACTGTAAAGTATTTTTACTAACCAGTCATATTTCATAACTAACCTATAAAATATTTGTTGTAAATAAAATATATCCAGAATAAAGTTGATCTCTTCTAACTGTTTCCTTTTTCAGTATTTTTATACGATCTATTGAGAAGTAGGAAATAAAAAAAGATTAAGACCAGTATTTAGACTAAGTCAGACCGTTCATTGACTCCTCGAAACTATCCGGTCGAAAAAAAATTGCTTGAAAAACAGGTGAACTATCATCGATAACATTCTTACCTCAAAACTTTTGCTTGTCCTTAGAGTGTTAAAAAATATTTAGTAATTACAAAATCTCGGCGCGACTATGCAATTTGAGTCTAAACCCGGATGTGGCGCGACCCTTAAAGTCTGGACATGAGTCTGGGGCCTTGACCCGGGTAATAAATACCTGATTTCGTCTGAACATGCTGTCTCTGTCCCTCTTAGGGTTGACTAGACTCCTCTCCCCCGTGTCTCCCCTCTCCCCGAATATGTTCACAAAGATGTCTGCTCTCTCACATTCGGCCGAGTGAACGTCGCCCGTGTGCACTTCCACATCATAGTACACCACTGAAAAAGAAGAACAAATTCGAAAAATTTTAAGAATGCATGGAAAGAAACTGTTAAATTATTGAAAAAACTCACACAAAAACAACTTGTATAAAATATTGAGTTACTTTGTCCATTGCAAAAATCCAAAAATCCAAGCATATGAGTTCATTTATATATTATACTCACGTGGGTACAATCGGTCTCCGTTTTTCTTGTAGACAGGAGCCTCTCTGCAAATTTGACCATCGTCTAATTCCCTACTCAGCCACCTGAAACACGTTGAATTATAAATCACATGTTTTAATTCCCTACAATTTTCCCTTCAACTGCTTCCCACTTTTTGCAAAGGGGGGGGGTTGTATGGAGGTTCGGTACTTGGTTCAAAACTCACACTGCTTAACTGTAAAAACAGAGCGGAGTGGGGGGGGGGGGGGGAGGGTTCGTTATTAGGTACAAAATTTGCATTATTTTAACAGTTTCTTCTAGGGGGAGGTTGGTTATTAGGTACCATAGGCGGAAATCGTTATAGAGATCTGAAAGAAGCTGACATCTATTTTCTGTTCGACCCGCAAACTAGGCATTAATTGAAGAAATAGTTTGATACATTTTACTTAAAAAACAAAAACTAACTTTCCTTTATTAGCTTTATTAATTTTTGCTTTCAACATTTGGCTATTGATTGCAATTTTTTAGGCAATATTCGCACTCGAAATAAGAACTGTGAGAAAAATTGGAAAAAATCAACTAAAATCAACCATGAAAGTTGGAGAAAAACTGGATATAATTTCAAGAAAATTAGAAATAAACCAAGAAAATTGGATCTCTTTAACTATTCACAAACCCCCCTTGCAAGAAGCTAAGTACCAAAGGGAGGGGGGGGGGGGGTTAAAGAGATCCCGAAAATCAATAAGAGACAAAACTGAGGAACAATTATCCACCTGTGGAATGGGAAAGACAACTCCCTCTCCCCTGTTGAGTCAACAAGTGTGACGTCATCTAGCAGCCAGTCCGGGTGGTCCCCACTGTTGTCGTGGCCCACTCTAATTTTGAAGATAGAACCCACTTTGCCAATTGTCATCTGCAACAGGAAACAAATTCTGCCATGAGTATATGTAATTTTAATGGTGTAAATTTTTTTCTCATTTGTGGTTTTCCCTGCAGCATCTAATCCAATTTAAGTTCTTATAATTTTAATTGCAGGGGCGGATCTAGGACTTTTTCAAGGGGGGAGTTGTTTTTTCAAAAACTGATTTTCCGAGCTCTCTCAAAGCATTGAAAAGACCCTGTTTTTGGTCAAATTCTCTGCGCCACAGGAAAAACTTTGGAAAATCAGGCACAAAAAAGACATTTTTAAGTTCATTTTGGAATAATTTTGACCAGAAAACCGCGCTTTTTCTGTGACCCCCTCAAAATTTGTATATATTGGCGCCGAAGGGTCAGTCAAAAATATGGATATCTCAAAATAGTAGAAAGGGGGACCCTATGGGTCGGCAGGGGGAGTTTTTAGGCATTTTTAGAAAGTATTGAATAAAAAATCATGTTTATTCGGCGCGCGCTCCCATTTTAACATTAGTATATTTTGTCGCCAAAGGCTACTGCAGAAAAATTTTGAGTTGGCTCAGTCAAAGATTTATCGAAGACCCCAAAAAAGTTTCCGAGGAATACCGGATGACTGACCTAAAAAAAATAACATCTTCTTCCAAACTTTTAAACGCCTTGTTCCTACCGTTCTTTTTTCTAGGGTTTTTGAAAAAATGTTTTTTGGGGTTTTCGAAGTCAATAAAAAAATCATATATACAGATGAAATGCCTAAATTTTGAAAACCAAAATTTAATTTTTAATTACCATTTCAACCGCAACCCACACTGTATCTTCTAAAAAATATCCACCCCTCCAATAAAAACAAAAACTTTGCTGCGTTCCGATTGGTCCAAAAATTGACCAACAAAATCTACTGAACAATTCCCCTTTCTTGAAAGAAGTGAAGACTGTTAAATAGATAACAAAATGAAAACAAGGATAGCCGGTTTCTGTGCAAGTAAGGTTTTTTAAAGTAATTTTCTTCAAATTAGTGTCGTTTTTAGTGCGTGGTGAAAATTGCGAACTAAACGAACGTGTAGAATTCAATTGAAATATACATAATTGACCATATTTGTCTTCATAAGATGATAAAAAGACAAAACATGAAAAAAATAACTAAACGTTTTAAAATTTTTCTAATTTTTTGCATAATATTTTTCATTTAAAAAATACCCTTATTGCCAAGAAAACATTACATAAAATATCCAAAATGAGTGTTCTGTAAATTGAGTTTAAATTTTTTGAAGCCGAAAGGTCTAAGTACAATAATTTATCACAAAACGATTGTTACTCGATTGTTTCTCTCGAAATTGAATTAAAAATCAAAAATTTAAATTAGTTTTTGGGATATTGGGACAACTTTTAGATAATTTAAAAAAAAAAAAACGGTTCGAATCGCGACTGCAAAAGCTTCAACTTGAGATATCACTCAATCCACTGTGATCATTATTTGTCATAATTGATTTTGCGTGAAAATCAAAATAAAAACAGAAAACTAAGACACACCGAATAGAAATTTCCACACCAAAAAACGATAGTATCAATTGGTTAATCAGGTAGTGAATCAAGATAATTTTAACTATTTCCCCCTTTTGGTTTACCTTAAAATCCACCCCTGTTGTCAAAATTGCCACCCCTATAATAAAACAGTTCAACACAGAAGCATAAGCGAATTTTTACCTAGTAAAAAATCCCACCCCCTGCAAATTAAAGAGATGAAAGAGATCCGTTTATCAGTGAGATAAAATATCACCTGAAATTCATCAGTAGACCCCGGTTGAAACAAGTCTCCATCCTCCCCCGATCCCAAATGCACTTTACCACTGTCTCTCTTGTCCCCATACACCACAATGTACACTCTGGCACTGGTTGAGGCTGCGGGCTCTTCATCTGTGCGAACTCGGACCAACCATCTTCCGGCTGAAACAAAAATTTAAGAATATTTGTAAAAATATAATTAATTATTGATTTTTTTTGGGAATTGGTTGATTTTCTAAGTTTTCTGCCCGTATTCTAGCTGAAACCAAAAAAAAATTATTGCAATAACCTGAATTAATTTTCATAATTTTTTCACTTTTGGCTGATTAATTTTCTAATTTTTTTCACGCATATTACAGCTGAATAAAAAATGATTCAGTAAAATTTATCCATTTTGTTGATTTTTAATAGTTATTTTGTTTTTTCCTTATTTTTCTTTTTATTGTAATCAAATTTGAGTTGCCGGTAAAGTTTGAGTTGTTAAAAAAATTGATCTTAAAAATTCAGAAAAAAAGCCAACCTGCTTTTTCTCTCCTACTTTGCAACGGCCTCTCAACAAGATTATTCTCCCCTCCTAACACACTCCCCCCTCCCACCGACTGCAAGTCACTGGGTCCCCTCCTGTTCCCAATGGGTCTCAACACTCCGGGGGGTCTGCTCAGCTTCTCACAGGGGGGCACTGCTATGTAGATTGAGCACGAACCAGTCAACACTTCGCGCATCGAACTCACCTAGAGAGAAATCACCTCAAATTTTTCATTAATTTTTTCAGTCACGGTCAAAAAACCGATGTATGAATAAACCGAAAACGGTCTTAAAATGACCGTGAACCTGAAATTCAGATTATTTGGTCAGAAAACCCAAAATTTGCGGCATGCATGCAACAAAACTGATGCGATTAGTTAAAATTGTATCAGAACTCCTTGCGAATTCTTACTTTATTGAGTTTAATGGATCTATTTAATTTCATCGTATAACTAAACGCAGTCAATTAATCGCCCTCAAATAACAGTCAATTCAAAAAATATATCGACCCTTTATTGTATTTATAAAATTGAATATTTGTTTTTTTTGTTGTTGTTCTTTTCAAGCTTTTCTAAATAATTAAATTCCTTAAAATAATTTGCAGCTATTGCCACTTTTATCAGGTTACGTTTTTCGAGTATAAAAACAGATAACTTCTGCAATTCTCAACCTAAAAATGGTATTAAATCTCCATAGTATAAAAGGGATTTTAGGCAAATCAGGCAAATGGAGCGAATGCCTGAAAAATATGATAGCCAACCAGAATTAAGTATTCAAGAAATGAAAAGATGAAACGAAACAAATTGCTCGTTGTTTGTAGTAAAAACACCTTTGATTGGTTAAATTAGTTTTTTTTATCGAAATCAGAACATTCCATGCATAAACAAGGATACTCGGTTGTCGTGCAAATGTTTCACCATATTCATTAAATAAAAACTAGAAAAAAGCTTAGTTCATTAGTTTTCTTCAAATTAGTGTCGTTTCTACTGAGTGGTGTGATTTATAACCATACAAATTCGTAATAGATTAGTGAGTTAGGCAAGATCGACAAAAATTTTGTTGAAAAACTGAATATCAATTATCTTAATTCTGAAATTATCTTAATTAATCAATTAAAAAACTGAATATCTTAATTCTTGTTCAATAGTTTTTTTAATTCTTTCTTTTTGCAAAAAAAACATCAAAAACTTTTTCTGATAGTAAAATCAAGTTTTTTTTTAGTTTAAAACTACCAGAAAAAAACTTAATTTCAATATAACGAACATTACTCGATCGCGTTATTCGCTCAAAAAAGGACTAAAAAGCAAAGACTTTCAGTTTTTCTTGACACTGGGACAATTTTTTTTGGGTTTTTTGTGGTCCCATCTTTGACTGAAAAGGTTTCAATTTGGTACATCTTTCGAATTTTTCCAATAATTTTTGTGGTACCTGATTTTGCGTAAAAACAAAAACAAAAAGAATGAAAAAATTAAAACACATCCGAATACAAACTACTTCCCCTTGTCAGTGGTTGAAACAATAACTGTGCTAACTTAGTCAAAATTTTCATTTTAATTTTGACAGAGCAGGAAAAGGTTTCTACTTGCTTAGATTTTACATTCGTTTTCTTAGTGGTCATGGTTCCGGCTTTTAGTTTATAAGGAATTGGTGGTAGGAATTGACAATTTGACGCAAAATTATATTTTTGTTTTTTAAATTTCATGGATATGGGGTCAGAAATTTGCTGTGATAAATGCTTTACACAGCCAACGGAAAAAATGTTATTCAAGAATCAATTAGGAAAAATTAGATTAGAAAAGTCTGGCAAAAATGTTTTTAATTACACAAGCAGCAATACGATTTTGACTCTCGCCTGCTATGCCTCAAAAAGTTCATGCGATGAAATCATTTGAAAACTACCCATTGATAAAAAAAATCTAATTCTAAACAAAAATATACAATTACCGAACAACTTTACTTCAATTTGCAAGAACAAAACAAAAACAAAAACCAACATAATTTTTTAAAAAACATTAAAACAAAACACCAAGCTACTGAAAAAATAATTCTACTAAGACCATTTGAGAACGTTTCGAAATTTTGAAAAATTATTCTACACTGTTTCAACACAAATTGCCCAGAAAAAAATTGAATCAATCAACGAGGCAGAAATCAAAAAACAGCTACTGGCTGAAAAAATTCAAACAATTTTGCAATGATAGAAGCCGAAAACAAAAACCAATTTTGACTCCCGAATAAAAGTTCTGATCGGGCTAAAACAGCAATTTTAGAGAAAAGTATGTTGAACGAAAACTCAAACAGAAAAACGCAATCAAACCAATTTTAATGGAAAACAAAACAATTGCTGTAATTGAATTATGTTTAAGAACTATGATCCCAGATAAGTTCCAATTTATCTGGACTTGTACCAAAAAATACTTTAAGTTTCTGATCTGATTCAAAAAAAGAAAAAAAATGTTACTCTAATAGAAGATTAAATCGACACAAAGGAATACAGCTATTGTGCTAAGAAATTAAGCAGACAGATTTTCCTGTTGACATCTAAATATAAAAGTTCTCTAGCAGTTTTGATTGAAATTACAAAAACAATTGAGTTTAGGGTTTCTGATTTGATAGGATTTCAAGCTTGCGTAGTACGCGGGTTTCAATAAAAGGCTTTTTTGAGCCATACGGGATGGGTAAAAAGTTAAAGGTCTTCGATTAGTAAAAAAAATTGGCCAAAATATGCGCAGAAATTAATGAAATATAATATCTGCACACTAAAAAAACGCAATAAAGGCCACAGATTAAACAACAAAAAATATTTAATCAGCTGTTCCTTTAGATTGATAAAGCAAATCAGAGAGCAATGCGAAAAAAAACAAATGATGTCAAAAATTTTTTTAAGAAAAACAGAACAAAAATGTGCAAAAAGAATAAATTTTTTACAGCTGATTGAAAGACAAAAACAATGAACCAGTTGTTACTTGAACTAAAGAAAAATCAAAAGAAAATCTCATGCTTTTTTTTTATACTTCTCAAAGGAGGTTCTGGGAGGTTGAATCAGGTTATTACAATTTTCCAAGTACAAATATAAATACTTCCATGTAATATCAAAAAAAATAGAAAAAAAATTGGAAAACGAGCCGACGGAATTATAGCCGACCCTACAGCGCCGAAATTCTGTCAAACACTTTCGACGCAACGAAAACTCTTAAAAAAAACTCCAAAGAGGAGCCCATAACCCTTTTCCAATGTGAACCCACTACACACTGCACTAACGATGATGTTAATATAATGATTACCATATCGACCACTCTGTGAACAAAATTGATTTCTTTTTTTTGGGAGGGGGGGCGAGTCTAGTACCGATTGCAACAATCTTGCTTCACCATTGCAAAGTTAAAAAAACTGGACCATTGTTCACGATTTGGACCATTTAAACCATTGTACACGACCATATATTGTTGGAATTACACAATATATTTCTCTCCCTCATTTCCAGTTTCTGCGGATTTTTGCAGTTTCTTTTCAATTTCATTGGTGCCTTATGATTTTTGTGAGGCATTTTAAATTTTGATTAAATGTTTTTGTGTTTTTTTTTAGTTTTGGGTCAACCGAATTGCCATTTCTCCGTCTTTCAAATTTAAAGGCGACAGTTTGTCACAGCTACCGTTTTGTGGTGCTCTCCTTTTTTTTAAGATTGCCTTTGAATTTTTTTTCTAAGGATAAACTTTAAATAAATCAATTGTTTTAGTTCCCCAAAAAAGTCAATCTACCATTAGATACCAGGTGGAATGTTATTTAAATCTTTTCTTCCGTATTTGAAACCTGTTGTTCTATTTTAGTGACTAATTAACTAACATTACTTTTTATGTATGTTGCCAACCTATTGCAAGAAAAAGTACCTTTGGAATATAGTGAAAAATAAAACTTTTTATTTTAAAAGAAAAAAAAATGCAAAAATTAAATTTGAGAATTAACTAGTCACATTCATTCCGAAGAAACACTAGAAAAAAAACCATGACCAGGGTCGAAATTGGTCACTATTTTGGTCTCATTTTTTTCTATGGAGGGTAATCAATGAGCCCATTTTTCTAGAAAACAAGCTGAACGAGCCTAATTTTTTAGCAAAACGAGCTGAAGAAGCCCAATTTGTAGCAATGTGTGCCTAATTTTTGATACCCATTTTCCCAATATGGGACTGACTGAGCCCAAGTTTCAGCAAAGAGAGCTGAAATTTCCCAAATTTTAGAAATGAGAATTGAATGAACCCAAATTTTGGCAGATTTGTGTGGGTCAGTTTCCCAAGTATGACAGTTCGGTTACAATAATGGCCTTGTCTTTTTTCTTTTAACAAATTTACATCACAAAAATTTGAAAATTTTGATCGTATGGTTCCGGTTTTCTATCTTTAGTTCACTGATTACTTTTGTTGCCTCTAGACAAAATTTTCCTTGACACTTGGTTAAAATGTAAAAATGTTTATCGGGGGGCCTAGGAAATTAGACGATAAGCAAATTAGATTGATGCTACAAAAACTAAATTAAACGGAATTTAATTTTTACAGATCTGACATTTTAGACGAAAAAGCTATGAAAAGGAATGGGCCAACAAAAATTTTTCTTAAGAGTCAAGTTTCACAAATACAAAAAGAAAAAAAATTGTCAATACCCATCAAAACAGTTAGTTTAAACAAAAATAAATTATCAAAGCTGAATATTACAGGAGAGTTGTGAATTGAATATTTTGTGCATGATTGTCTTGTAAAATTTTTTACTTTGTGGGTTATGCATCCAAACAAATGTGCCGACAGGTTTTACGTAAAAAGCATTTGTTTGCGATAAATGGGTAACTGGCTTCCATGTACAATTTGGAAATTTTAAAAAGGCTTGTCTCTTGATTCCAGGGTTCTATACGCACGAAATTATGAGCGTATTCAGAACTCAGTTTATTCTCGTAATGAAAAAGGAAGGAGGCGGATTTTCGAAAAAGATTTTTATTATGTTTTTTAAATACACTTTTTTTATAGTTTTTTGTATCTATTGCTATAATTGTCTTAAAAAAACTACAGAACACTGTTCAATACCATCCTGGTACGTTAAAAAATCAAAATTTGGGTAATAAAGTAATAAAGACAGGATTTTACAAAAACATGCCAAAAATACGTTTTTGAAAATTTTGAACTGCAATGTTACGGTTATCAAAAATGCAAAAGGTGGTTCTTTTGTCAAATTTGCTAAGAATAGGGAACTCTTCAAGAAACGCGGAAGTAGAAAGATTCTCTAATATGAAGAGTATGTTACCTTCTTTCCGTCTGGTGTGAACAACTTATCAAAGGGACACCCGAACATCTCCCCCAAATCCCTCAAGAAATCCCCCATCTCAATGTTCGCTCTCCTGTTCAGTAGAATTAGATTCCTGTCAGTCGTGGATCCATTTCTGTACACTGTGATCTTCTTAGGAGTTCGCTCTTGCATGTCCAGATCTTCTTTAATGCCACCGGTTCTGAAAAAAAAAACATTAAAATTTGCTGGATTTTGAGCAATAAATTTTAAAGAAATAATTGAAATGCGATTAAATTTGCAAAACATTTTTATAGAGATATTCAAGTAAGTCTTTTATGTCTTTAAGTTAAATGCCTTAAGAGAATTGCGCCAAAAGAATATAAAAATTTAAAATAGTGTTTTAAAAAATAATAAACAAAAACTAAGACCAATTTTCTAAAAGGAATCGCCTGCAGAGCGAAATTAAATAATTCAACACGTAAGTTTGGTTATCTGCGCAACGAATTTTACAAAAAAAAATTGTAGTTTTTGATATTTGACGATATTTGATATTTCAGATATTTCTTTCTGCTTCATTGGATTCGATGTCAGCGTGAGTGATAAATACATCAGCCGAAGTATAAACCAACTGCCATATAAAGTATAAACCAGATCCTCAAATGTTTCATAGTAATCTTGTTAAAATTGCGTAACAGTTATGAAACAGTTGCAGTTTTCATCCAAAAGACGTAAATTCACTGTGGTTCAATTCACACTCATTGTGATGCAATTGTTACCTTTTGTTGTATGGCTGCATTTCCATGGGTCTCCCTTTGTTTTTCATCTTTTGCAGCTGGAAATAGTTCAAGGGGTACTTTCCAGTCAGACGAGTCGCAAACACCTAAAAAAATTGAAAGTTTCTTAATTTAAAACAAAGAGAATAAAGCAAAAAAGTACATACAATATGACAACAGTTTACTCAACACAATTTGAAAATAAATTTTCAAGTTTTTAAAATAAACAATTGACACTAAAAACAATTTCGAAAAAATATATATTTCATTTTCTAAAGCAAACGATTCGGTGTGTCCTCAAATCTTTCAAAAATATATTCTGAAGTTGCGATCATTTCTGTAATAGTTATGCTGACTTCGGATTTTTTTTTTTACTTCTAATAGTTTTTAACAGTTTACGTTCTTTGAGTTTTTAAGTTCATTTAAACATTTTAGATTTTGTGTGAACTTTTTTCTTCTAAATTGTCTGCTTTATTTACCTTCTGCGAGTTGGTGCGTCTGTCATTATACCTCCAGTTGTTCTGCTGGTGTATGGCCTGACTGTTCGCGTAGCTATGGCCTCCTCCTGGGGCCATTATGGGTCTGGGCTGGTTGAAGTCACACACTATGTAACTCCTTCCATGCTCCAATTGGTCCAGAGATCTTTGAAGATAACATCGTAAGTAGTTAGGTTTTCCATTTTTAATTGGTACAATCTTTTTTTAAGACCCCTGTGAATGGACCTGAAGATCCAATCGTGCTCTCCTAGGCAGTAAAAATGGAGGTGTGGTTTGCAGCTCAAATAAACATGCAGCTCAAAACTTTTACTGAAACATATTTTTTAGTGGAAAATAGAAGAAAATATAATTTCAATCAATCTGAGAAAATAGTTAGTTTGAAGTGTGGAAAAAAAACTTGAAGATTGATCGTACAAAAACAGGCTGAAAGTCTTAAATTCCTAAAAAACGTATTTTGAGCGGACTAAAACATAAACGCAAGTTTGGAATTCGTGTTTGGTAAGATTTATTTCGAAAAGGTTGATGAAAACACAGTTTTTCTAGAAAAGAGCCCAGTTGTTTGAAATATAATACTTGTATCCAAAATGAAAGATCCCAATTGCATAGTCGCTCCGGGAGTTTGAGTCTGGAATGTCGCGTCGTAAGGTCGCAACAATTCTGCAAAAATGCTGGGTCGCAAAAGTCAGGAACCAATGTCGTCGATGTCTGGAATAGGACTGTGTTGCGAATCATACCATTCTTCTTACTTCATTTAATCAGTCTTAAATTACTTTAACTGGTTAATTTAGATCTGACCTTGTTATGTTCATTCTCTCCGGCGGAGAGAATGATCTCTCACTTTTTTAATGTTTTAATACAGAGATTAATTCATTTTTTAAACATATCTTATTTGTAACTAAGTAGAATTATCCGTAACAAAGAAACATTTTATCATGGCGCAGTCAAACAGTAACGAATCAAACGTGAGAGGTATACCTTCATTCTGGCAAAACCACACAGTGGACCCACCAATTCCTTGGGAAGAGTGGAGCGACTTATTCCAAATAGCAATAATCGCAAAGGAAAACATCGATATCGAAAATCTCTTGAATCCAACGGAACGATATCACCCACTCCCTCCAACACTAGAAAATCCACCGGAAAACGAATCCGATGCTCAAAAAACATCTCGCATTGAGAGGAATATCCGCGAGCAAAAGAGGTTCGAAGACGAAGAAATGGCCTCAATTAAGTCAGAAACTAAGAAATTTAACGGCATGAGACTAAAAGAGGCGGACAAAAAACTCAGACCCATACTTTATTCAGCCCTCAGAAACGAAGGAAAGAAGGTTCACGAGAGTTAAAGTTCTGCAAATTTCTATCAAACTTCTATGGGAAAATTTGTCTTTAGCCTTTGTGAAAAAGACAAACATAACCTTCGAAAGACACAAGCTGTAGCTGTTGAATAGAAAACAGAGGGACAGAGAATCGCTAGAACAATTCTGGGGGGCACTAGCAGAAATGGCAAAAAGATGTGACATTGCCAGAGGAGAAGACGAGTGGATCCGAGATATATTTATCAATAATATGAAGAACTCGGACATTCAACGGAAACTTCTTACGGAAACTCTACCCCCACTAGAAGCTTTAAATTTCGCCTTGATCGATGACAAAGGAATAACAAACCACATCAAAATGACGAGTACTTTTAAATCCAACGGATACCCTTCCAATAAATATTTTAATCATTTTAATGTAAAAAGAGAACCCACCCTAAACATCGAAAGGAACAACACGCGTATGAAATGCGGCGGAAGTTTTACCAAAGGACATCTGGAGGTTTGCCCCGCAAAAGGTACGACCTGTACGACTTGTAAATATCGAGGACATTTTACTAGACTCTGTAAATCACGCCCTAAAAATGTAAATATTGTGGATAGTCAAATTGTAAATAATACAGATTGTAATTATCCTTCGGAGCAACCGGATGTAAATAGCGACCGCGCTAATAGAAAATGCTGTGGAGTACTCAACGCATGGTCGGAGTCCGGACAGAGCGATAACGATGACTACTCTGTATTAAACGTAACAACTATCTACGACGATCAAGGAAAAGAATTGAAGAAACTACTAAACATCGGTCTAGGAAGCGAAAATCAAGTAATTCTCAATATACAGGTGGATTAAGCTAGCCCCGTGAGTTTCGTCAAACAAAACGTTCTACACGAGTTGTAGTTACGAGACCCTTATCTGAAGATATATCCAGTGGACCAAGCGACTAAAGAACTTTATTGCGGATTTACGAACAATGCAATAAATATCACTGGAAATGTAATCGTTCCCATTTTCTCAAATGGATGGTCTCATAAGGAATGCCACTTCTTCCTAACACAAGGACATGAAAGAACGTCCTGGGGAATGACAATTTGCCAAAAGTGGGAATTGAAGTTTCGCAAAAATACTACTCACTACACACCAAAAAGAAAACTTGTAAGTCTATCAATTCAATTACATCACTTGACAAAGAGAATGAAATAGACATGATTTCCAAGAATTTCAAACATCTATTCCTTCGGAATGGAAAAATAAAAAATCAAACAAAAACAACACACTTTCACGAACCACTAAAGCCAATTCAACTAAAAGACAGGCGAGTCCCACTACATTTACTGGATTCAGTAAAAACAGAATTGTGCAAAATCAAATCCGAAGGACATATCAAAAAATTAGAAAATTGCGACAAGGACAGATTTATTAGTCCGATAGTTATCACTTGTAAAAAGGACAAATCGATAAAGCTAGCCCTAGATTCAAAATTTGTCAACAAACAAATTTACAAGAACAAATACCAGATGCCCAACATACACGAATTAGTGGATAACGTAGCGGCTCAAATTTCCAACAACTCCGCCCGAGAAGTGTGGTTCACCAATCTAGATCTAAAGAATGCATATGGTCAACTTTCGTTAGACAATTTTACTAGCAGTCAATGCAATTTTAGCCTGGTTGGCGGAGATATAACTGGCAAATATCGATTCCTAACCGGTTTTTACGGACTCGGCGGTATGCCAAATGAATTTCTCATGGACTCAACACTGGGAAATATTCTTTTCACAAATTGTTACTTTGACGACATTTTAGTCGCTTCCAAAGGAAGTTTTATTGACCAATAGAAAATTGTCTATAAAATTTTATCAACGTTAGATAGTTACAATTTCGCAGTCAAAATGGTCGAAATGCACATTTTTCCAAAAAGAAATCAAATGGCTCGGTTTTAAAATATCAAAATCGGGAATCGCTCCGCTAATCGATAAAACCAAAGCGATTAAAGATATCCCAATTCAAAAAAATCTAAAGGAACTAATATCATTCTTCGGGTCAACTAATCAGTACATCAAATTCGTACCAAGTTTAGCATCCCTCGGAAGCCCGCTAAGACCTCTTTTAAACAAGAAGTCAATTTTCCTTTGGAATGAAGTTCACACAAAAGCGTTCGACAAGATAAAATTAGAAATAAAAAATTTTACAGAAAACACTCACTTCGACGTTAAAAGATCAACGAGAGTAAAAACTGACGCTTCACATAACGGGTTAGGTGCATCTCTCGAACAACTCCACGGGAACGACTGGAAAACAGTATCGTTTGCTTCAAGATTTTTAAATCCTCACGAATCCAAATATTCAACAAACGAATTAGAGTTATTAGGAGTTGTATGGGCGCTAGAACATTACAAAAACTGTCTCTACGGCTCAGAATTTGAAATTATTACCGAACACAAAGCTCTCCTTTCCACTCTGTCACCTAATCACGGAAACAAAACGTATCATAGTCGATTGACAAGATGGGTAGATCGTCTTTTACCATTTAATTTTACTTTAAAGCATTTAGCGGAAAAAGATATGGGTTTTACTGACCTAATTTCAAGATCTCCTTCGGGAAAGGCAATCCCCCATCACATTACGATGAAGAATTTGTAGTTGCAACTACCAAAAAAATATATAAAGCACTCAATCCGTTGGATAACGAAAATTCATTAGGTAATTCAATTAGTTCAATTTCGGAAAGTTCCAATTACACGAGATTACGAAATCACGTAATAATTAGAGCGTTGAATATTATTAATTCTTCCATTCCAATTTGCAATCAAAAACATTATAGAACAGAACTTTGTAACTCTAAATGCATTCCCTCGGACTTTTCAAACACCGATCCTACTAAAATCGTTTTATCAAAATCAGCCTTTATTTATTTCTTAATTCTTAATAGTATTTTAATTAGTAATCCTTCGGGTTTTAAATTTAAAAATAGTGTAAATATGTCTAATAACCAAATTGTAGTAAATCCTTCCACCTCCGGAATACAGGTCTCAATCGATTTCTAAATTTCTTCGGAACACAAAAAATTAGTAACAAAATATCGAGAAAATCTCAAGGTTACCTGAACGACCTTTGGATCTAAACAAGTTGTTTAACGCAAAGTTGGTCGCATTACTAACGGAAGACGACGAAATGCTAAACCCAACCGTAAAAGCTCTACAGAACAAAGTTAAAAGCATCAATGCAAATTCCCGTTACCTGTACCAATTTTCGAAAGACCTTCACGAATCCGACGGATTATTATATATGGATGGAAAATTGGTTATTCCTTTTACACTTCGAAACGCCGTTTTAAAAACTTTGCACGAATCCCACCCTGGCCAATTCGGTATGAAATATTTAGCACAATTTATTTGGTGGCCTCACATAAACCGGCAGATCTACTTCCATGGGATTAACTGTTCACAATGCACCCAAACTGGTAAGAATATTAAAAGCATTATACATACCACACAAATTAGTGAACTTCCCGCTTTATCCGAACCTAATGAGGAACTTGACGTCAATTTTCCGGCCCAATAGATAACATCTGGGGAAAGAATAAATTCATTTTATTATTATAGATTGTTTCTCAAAATTTCCATCAGCTAAAATTACATCTTCAACGTCATCAAACACGGTAATCGAATTCCTTCAATATTATTTTTACCTCCATGGGATTTCTAACTCTATTCGTGTCGACCACGCATCCTGTTTAACTAGTCAGGATTTTAAATTATTCTGTAATTCTTGTAATATCAAATTAATATTTTGTACAGTTGGGGACCATCGTTTTAACGGTCTTGTAGAAAAACTTGTTCAGACTGTATAAATTAAATTATTAGCAATGTCACTAGAACAACAAACACCTACATTACAATTCGCTATCTCGAAAATCATTTGGAATTTACGATCTTCCTTTCAGTCAAAAACAAAATGTTCACCATTCGAAATACATTTTAATAGAAAACCGAACACAATCTGGAAACAATTGGCATCTAGTAAATTATCCGGTGGATTTTTGAACAAAGGGAAGTCGATCTTAAGCAAACAAAGGGCCCTTGACTAGAATGCGGACGATCGGATAGAAGACGGGTACAAAGACTGTCTACTACCAAAGAAGAACCAGTCACCACTTGAGAAAGGTTACGACTCAGACCACCCCACAGCTTCAAAACCTTCTTCTTCCCGAGTGTCTCTAAACAGCCCGTTTAAAAGTAATTTACTCCGAAAGACCAATGGGAGTATAAACAGAAATCCCTTCTATAAACAATTGGGTCAGAAAATAATAAACTCAACAAAATTTACGGTTGAACTATCCGACGAAAAAATCATTAGAAAATCGGACATCGCCATCCCAAAGTCTAAATCTTCTACAATCCGTTCATTCAAAGGAAATATTTATTTTCCTTTTTTTATTAACACTGATTTACAAGTAGGTCCAAGAAGGACAAACAAAACAAAGCCCCAAGAGACGCGGAAACTAGGCCCTAAAACGAGACGACAAATAAAGCTTCCTACTCCGGTCACCACTAGGTCTAGAGGGATAAATCAACCAACCAAACCCAACAAGCCAAAACGAACCCAAAATAAAAGCCTCGACTTCTAACACTGGATATTTAGCAGGTGACGAATTCATGTTCATTCCGTCGGATACATCTGACATTAGTGATTGGGAGTGGATCGCGGGTGGTTTCCCATGCAGGGAAACGATAAGAGAACGTTTCTTTTCGGATAACCCCATTTTTAACGAAGAACCTACCTCATCATTAGATCCTCAAACATATCAAACTAATATAAAATCTGAGATTTTAGACGAACAACCTCAATCGACGGACACAGCGGAATGTCCAATCAGTATAAAACCAGCAGCCCAAACTACTTCACACTCACCTAACAAACCTTCTACTACTGCGACATCGGAGGGCCCAAACGCTCCGTCGGATACAACGAAGGAATCGGAGGGAGAAAATCCTATCGAATTTCCAGTTTTCGAGATAGAAGACTCCTCTGATGAAAACGCGATTACTGAGGACAGGCATCCAAAGGAGACCGTTATCACTGGTAATGATTTTAAATTAAGGCAGTCGAGTCGAAATGTTGGACCTCCCCAATTCTACGGTAAAAGATTGTACATAGATATTATAGATGAGAACGAAAACCAACCAGGCTCCGCGGAAAACCCAATACCTCTGGACGAAAACGACAGTTCGGGCACCCTCACACAAACCATTACAAGGAATCCCTCGGATATTCAAACCCCTATTTTCGACATCCAATCAGAAGAATGTACATCCGACTCAGTGATCTCCTCATCCTCAGATCAAATCTCTATTATCTCCACTGACGAATCCCTGAGAGATGCTGTGAATAGTTTTGACAACTATATAGACTTAGATAGTGAAATTTTCCATGCGGAGTTAGAGAATCTTATGGAAGGGGACAGTTAAACTAAAACAAAAATTCGCATTTAGACTTTAATACTTTTATTAGTACTTCATTACAGTCTAGTCAGAATCTATCTACTTTTTGTAGTCATTGATTATAATCCGCCGGAATCATGAATTGTGCTATTCCTCTTTCTAATCAGTCACTCCTTCGGAGCATTAAAAATTTCATTGTTATATTGGGCAGTACTTAATTTTTTCAATCCCTTGGTTGGACTCCTTGAGGGAGAGAAAAGGGTTAGCTATCCTGTTACGTATCATAGCGTATAGTAGTTTAAATTTTTCCCACTAAGGGGAATGTTGCGAATCATATCATTCTTCTTATTTCATTTAATTAGTCTTAAGTTACTTTAACTGGTTAATATAGATTTGACCTTGTTATGTTCATTCTCTCCGGCGGAGAGAATGATCTCTCACTTTTTTAATGTTTTAATACAGAGATTAATTCATTTTTTAAACATATCTTATTTGTAACTAAGTAGAATTATCCGTAACAAAGAAACATTTTATCAGACTGAGTTGCGAAGCTCGGAAAAAAATTGCAGACCTTTTTCTGGGTCACTTTTGTCGCGGCGTCTCCTCTTTGGTCGCAAAATAAGCGATAAATCGTTTCAGTTGCGAAAGTATAGAAAATGTAAAAATTGGTTGTGCCGCTGCATGCTGGGTCGTGCAGTTTTCTGGATCGCACCCGTCGCGCCGCTCTAAAGGTCTGGAAATAGCTTAAATTATTCGCGGAAGTCTGGATGTACGTACTGAATATTGGTCTCAAAACTTTGGATGCGGAAATCAGATCTTTACAGTCACGATTTGGTTGCAAAAAGTTTGGAAGTGCCAAGTGTTTGCTGCAACTTTCAGGACTTGCCAAAAATTAGTCGTGAAACCTGATTTGCTAAATTTTGGTCGCAATAGTCTGGAAATAAGTTGAAAAATAGGTTTCAATCAGGTATAGAATTTTTTATCATTTTATTTCAAATGTCGTCTAAGTTGTTCATAACTTATACTTTTTTTTGACATTGGCTGGTGAGTAAAATTTAAAATATATTCGAATAAATTCAGATTTAATAGATTTAAAAAAAAAATTTTCTCGATTTAATTTTTTCTTGATGCGCATATTTTTTTGTTTTCTATGCCCGCAAAACTTGTAGCACATGATTTTAAGTTGATCAATCATTTTGGTGAGTCAACAGGGTTTTTTGAACTAATAAAAACATCTCTAAGACACTTATTCTGTTTAGTAAATTATTGTGTTAAGACAAAGCAAAAGACATCTCACGTTTCGAATTTTCATTATTGAGAGCAATTTGATAATCCATAATAGGATATATTTTTGCTGCCATAATTTTGTTGAAAAAGGATATTATAATCGTTTAGAATCGTTTTTAAGAGCTTTTTAAAAAAAATTGTAGAAATTAATCTCATTTGAAAGTTTCTAGGTTATAATCGACAATAAATCTTCTAAATATTCAATATTGGTACTTATAATCAATTATAGTTATCACAGATCTCACATAATACTCCGTTAAAATCGATTATTTAAGCCTGAGCATGAACTTCGGTTCGGGTATTAAACCGTAATTAATTTTAAGTTTCCTGGTCTTACCTTATTTGGTTGACTCCATGCGGTGTGTACATTGACCTGGCCCCCAAAGGCAACTCTACTTTGCCCGTCAAGTCTTCCAGCAGATTATCCAGGGTTCTGTACTTGGCATCACTCACCCAAAGGGGACGTCTAATGTTGCTTCTGTTCTTGAAGAATGTGCAGTGCTTGGCCTTCCATTCGCGAGGAGGAAGTTTCGGGTAGCTCCTGAAAGTAGCGAAATCACAACTTGAACACTTTTACAAAAAACGGGCATCAGATTTTTCAACAATTTCTTTAAAAAAACTATGATCAGATTTTTCAAAAATTAAAAAAAAACTGGGATCACGTTTTTCAAAAATTACAGTTTGCATTTATTTTCACCAGAAAACATGCTTATAAAAAGAGCATACACAATTTTATAAATTTGGGTATGTTTTATTTTATAAACACAATTTTTGGTGAAGATTTTTGCAAACTGTATTTTTTTTAAACTCTGATCCCAGTTTTTTTGACAATAAAGCGTACAAAATTTGATCAAAAATGACTTTTACAAAAAAAAAACATTCTATTTTGAAAATTTAGGGTCACCAAATCTTGACATAAAAATGCTCTATTTTTTGAGAAATCAGAATTTATAAAAAAACTCAACGCTATAAAGGAAAAAACTTAAGTACAATTTGTTCTTACGTTTTTTCTTTACCGCGTTGAGTTTTTTCATAAATTCTGATTTCTCAAAAAAAAGCAATTTTTTGGTCAAAATTTTCCAAAAAAGTGCTTAAAACGCCTTTTTGGTCAATTTTTTCAAAACTTTGCCTGCAGTGCAGAAAAATAGGCCAAAACAGTGACTTTTTAGTGCTTTCTGAGAGCTCGAAACATCAATTTGCTCAACCTAAAAAAAATCGACAAAAATTTCGAAAATTTTTTTGAAAATCCGCACCCCTCGAGAAAATCCTAGATCCGCCCTTGAGTACAATGACAGCTTTCTAGTAGCATCTTGAGCCGGTGAAACTTTCAACCATGGTTTAAATTATGTTATATCACCTGAAAAGCTTACGTTACGTCACGTGAAGAATGTTTTGTCATCTCAGTTTTTGCATTAATTACGTCACCTGAATTATGTTACGTCACCTAAAGTGTTTTTTGTTACGTCACCTGAAATATTGTTCAGGACTGTCGTCAAAACTAGCCCGCCGCTTCACAGCAGTATGGCCAATATCTGGGTGGAAATGTTCCGGGTAGTCGTAGCCAATCGGAACGACTTGTTTCCCGAAGGGAGACTGATAGCCAATCAAATTTGAGGAGGCGCTGAGTCGTCGGTTATCGAAGAACAGTTCTTCAACCTCTTCGTCGTCGTCCTCGTCGCTGATTGGTCGGCTGAGTTGTTCGGCGTGACTTCGTCGACCGTCATTCATCTGTTAAAAAATTGGAGTCCAATGCAAAAATTGAAGCGGAATTCAATAAAAAATCATAATAATTCAAGTGCATTTTTTAAAGCGTGTACTTCTAATTCTTTTGCCCGCTCTCGAATTCTATGCATAAAAATCAATTAAACTTGAGTTTTGTCAGTGTCTAAAAAAGTGAAAATTAACCGGTTATAATGAATTGAAATTGATTATATTGCTATTATTTACTAAAGCATTAAATCCATTGCAAATCAATTATAATCGATTATGTTCATTTTATAGATAAAGACGATGAAACTCAATTATAACGGCGATCAGTTTTCCACTTTGTTGAGATGCGAATTTCAACGCCAATAAAAACTTTTCTATGTTTCAAACCAAAGTTGGTTACTTTTTGTACAGTTTCAACTTTGTCTGCGCAGTTTTGAGTTTTGTTACTTTTTTATGTTACTCAAGTACTAAATTTTGCCGCTGTAAGCATATTTCTATTTTTTTCAACAACAATTTTTTTTCTGGGGGGAGGAGAGGTAAAACTGGAGATATAACAAATGATTGCTCGCCAAAAAATGCTATTTGTTGGCCAAAATCCTCCAAAAATGACATTTTGACCATCTTTCCAAAAATTTCAGTAAAAAAATCAATGGAAACGTTTGAAGAAGGGAAAAGGGGCCAGAAATTACAATCTGCATGGGGAGGGGGTTGAATCTCTTGAGGAGGTAGGATTTAGTTTAGGTTGGGAAGGGGTTGATTCAGATGGGGGGGTCGGTTCAAGAGGGGGAAGGGGTTGGTTTAGGTGGGGGAAGGGGTTGGTTCAGATGGGGGTGGTTGAGATGGAGGGCTTAGTTCAGGTGAGCGGGCTTGGTTCAGGTGCGGGGGGGGGCGTGGTTCAGGTCGCGGGAAGGGTTGGTTGAGGTTCAGGCGGGGGATGGCGGGGGTAAGCGTTAAAAGGGATTGTAAGGGGGCAAAGGTGCAAACGTTAGTGGGAAGGGGTTAACGGAATGGTTGTGCAATTTGAGAAAATTTATGTTAAGGAGTAGGCCATTTACTTGTTTTTCAAAAGCTCTGCATTACTTATTTAATAAAGGAAGAAGTTGTTTGAAAATCTTGCACGACTTGGAACAAAAATAAAGTGAAAAAAAAAAATCCATTTTAATTGATTTTAAAAAGGTTATAACTTTTTAAATTTGATCAAAACAATGGGTTATAACTGATTTTTGATTCCAATTTGCAGTCTGCGGACAACAAGGGAATCAAATATATTGATTAGATTTTAGACCTCGAAAATCTTTTAAAACTGATTTATTTTCACTTTTCTTAGATGTGGGTGCTCGTACACATAGAATTTTAATAAGACCCGTTTTCTGCTTCTAAAAAGAATATTCAGGAGGATCAACAAATAAAAGGCCAACATAAAAGCTTTTCAAATCTTCAAGGACAACCGCTGCTGTGCCCCTGCTTAAGAACTACATGCACTTTTTAGCTTTTTTTTCTGGGTTGGCTACTGTTGCCTCGCCTTCTATCAGCGAGCATGGATCAAGACGGGCCTCAATCCTCTGGCCATTTGGTACAAAAGCGAAGAATTAGCCACTTCACTACATCCGTACGCTTTGTACTGAACTTCGGTTGTTTATATATTAGCTCGCCAATGTGTACGTTGACGAAAAATATTTTTCGTTAAGAACCAGAAATCTATTAAAATTTTCAAATTTTCAAAATTTTCAATATCTATCCCAAAAAAAAGTTAAAAGTGAAAAAAACGGAAAAATAATCAGTGAAGGAAAATGGACAAAACCCGGATTTCTTCAGAATTTGAAAACAAAAAGATGAGAAAACAATGACAAATTTACCCAACGCGGAAAAAGTTAAACTACCAACAATTACCAAAACACGGAACTAAAATTAGAGCTTGCAAACACAATTGGAATTGATTCGAGCCAAAAAACCCAGGAAAAGTTATACATCTACATGGCTTATAGGATTAAAAAACCCATACCGAGTATGGGAAAATTAATCAAGTGGGCAAAAAAAAATCACCTCGTTGGTTGACTATGACTCCTGGGCTCTTTTCCTATTGTTTATTCGCCCTTTTGTTTATTTCTTCTAAAACTCAATTTACATAAGTCTATTTAAAAAAAATTTTGGTATTCCAAATTGAAATGAAATGTGTAAATGTGACTAAGTGAACAGATTGTTACATAATTTTTCCCATACAAGTTGCCGTGTGAACAATTTTTAAACAGTTTAATTTTGTTAGTCCACAAGGGGGTGGGAAATTGGAAAAGAGTTATGTCTAAATAAAATAAACCTCTCTCATCAAACAGCTCGAATATCATAAAGCACAGTCCACTTAATGAGTTAGCTGGGAGTATGCCTAGACATTTAGTCCAAAATGATAACAGAGTTAGAAACTATTTTCGAATACTAAATTGGGTGAAAAGGACACCTTGAAAAATGGATTGATAGATAGCAAAAAGATGGTGATCTTACACAAAACAAATCAAAATTTTTTCAAGTTGTGCGAAAATAAGAGCTCCAGCGGTAATGAGAAGTAAACATTATGCAACGTTTTTTCAAATGTCCTTTTCATTATCAACGTTCTAGCCTCAATTTTTTTAAGCAGATAACATATAATTTGAAAAATTTGTATTATAAAAACTCATTTATGTTGCAGAAAATTGAGATATTAGTTATCTTCATAGTTTTTTTTCAGGCCAAACATCCAATTGAAACTTTAGTCGAAAAGCATACGTTATGTTTTTCCAACTATTTCTCTATTGTTTGACAGTTTAGAGAATCTGAATATAATCTGTGTATAACCTGTATAAAATGAGTATACAAAAAAGTAGTTAGTACTTGATTTAAATGGACCTTAACTGATTTTCTGTTACTAAAATCCGTAGGAAAATGAAATAAAAAACTTGATAATGAAGAGATTTAAATTAATTTAGAACTGATTGTAACTGATTTTTAAGCTACATCTTTGTATCAAACTAAACCGATTTTAATTTGATTCAAATCGATTTTTCCAAATCTCTGCTATATTATCTGTATAAAATCGATTGAAATTCTTTTTCATTTCTTGTCAGTAGCGGTCGGCTGGCTCAACAAAACTACATGAAGACTTCGTACTGTGGCTTATTTTGTCGGTTTTCATAAATTTTCTCCCAGTGTCATAACAGATGTCGCTGGACTGTCTGAAATTTGCAGGATTTTCCATGAAGAGTTTGCATTTTTGGACTACCGAGCTCGCAACGTGGATCATCCCAGTTTCTCGCATTAACATTCAATTTTATTCAGTTTTGAAACAAAATTGACAATAAACAAATGAAATAGGACGAAATCTGCTGTTATGTCAAAATAAGACCAAATTTGTCGATTTTTAGAGGACAAAATGTTTCGTGTAATGAAATCTAATCGCATCAATTCTAAGTTGAAATTTCAATTTTAAGCAAAAAGAACAAAAATCAGCACAAACATCGAATGCAGAGATCAAATAGCAAAACTTGTTGATAAGAAAAATAATCATGCTATAACTCTAAAATTTGATAACCAAAGAAACGCCAAATCAATAGAAACACAGAATAAGACGCAAAAGAACACCAAATTTTTCTCTTTTCATTTAAAAAATTTGAAAACGGAATTTTTCCATTAATTGATTTTCAGTATTGTGCCATGAGTTAACGGAATTTTTTTTTGCGAAAATTTCGATTAAAGATGTAACAAAACTGGACACTTAATATTTAATTTTGGTTGCTTTGTTTTGTGTAATTGCTTGTTTTGTGTAATTAAAGTTTTAGTTTTTCGAAATCCTAAGTAAATTATTTGAGTACCGAGAAAAAATAGTCAGAAATACTTGCTCAAACCTCAAAGTTCGCATTCACCTATGAACTTTTTTGTTGCAGATTATATCTAATAAATTAATAAGTATGGTGTAGGGCATACTATTATCTGCGAAATGTTTTTAGGATGTTGAAATAAATTGTTTTCATTAAGAAAAAATTCAATTGCCTGAATAGCAAAAAACTCAGACTAGTTTTTCTTGAAAAAAAAAACTATCACGAGTGAAGTGAGAATAAGTGTTACTTCGCTTGACGACCTGTGAGCTTTCATCAGGTTAGTCATAACTGATTGGAATAATATTTTAACACAAAAAGAAGGCAGAACTTAAACCAAAATTGAGCTTTATAAAAAACTGAAAAAATACTTGAACTAGTCTTTTATCATTGGCTTAAAAAAATCTTTCGATGATAGAAAAAAAAAAAAATTTTATTCATATTTTGCAAAACCTGCGGTAAGAACAGTCACGTGCTGCGTGCACGGCAACCGGCTACTTTTGTTTACAATAACAACTGAATTAAACCAAATTTTTTCGTTTTGACAAACATTCGGCACGTTACAGTTAACTTCAAACCCTAGCAAACTTGATCTTCTAAAAAAACACATTACTTACCGTTCAATGTGGACGGAATTAAGGTCGATTGTCTGTAACAACTATTCAAATTTTTGAATTTAGGAAAGTTTCAATTTAATTCAAAAAATAAAATAAATTGACTTTAAATTTTATTCTGTAGTTTTTGAAGTTCAATTATAATTATAGATACTGAAACTATCAGAAGCTGATTTCGTTCAGTTTTGAACACTGAGATTCCAAAGCAAGTATCGCTTAGAAACGAAAACTATGCAGTGACCAGTATTAAATGCACGCATTAATTATGCAAACATTTTACAGGTGATTTCCATCAATTGAACTTTCCTGCTACAAAATTGGACATTTATTCTTCTGTAGTTGCTTAGCAAACGACAGTTCCAAACAGCATCTTTTAGAACATGGCCTACTTACACTGCGCTGAAAAATTGCTCCAAAAATAAAAATTTCAATTTCAAAATGAAGTATTTACAATTTAATGCAGATATATTTACAAGGTTTTCCATATTTACATAATTACAACAAAATGATTAAATCTAATATGAAAAAATGTAATTTTTAGCAATAGATTCTTGATACTAAATTTACCAAGTAAATGGCGGGTTATAACGAAATTCATCTTAATTATATTTTATACCGCCATTTACTAGGTCAACTTTATGTTCAAAACGAAAAATTTTTCCTTAATCTAAGGAAAGATATTTGAGTTTTTTGGAACTCATCTTTAGTTTTACCGTTTTCAGCTTTTAATCTTTTTAGCAATAAATTGAGCAAATCTTCCTTGGGTTTTTTTCACATCATACTTCAACTCCTTGTCTATATTTTGTGCCTTTTGCTCATCTCCTTCCAAAAATCTAGCAAAAAACTGATAGAAACACTCTTCACAATGACAAAACGAACGTATTGATGAAAAAAAGACATTTAAATCAAAATTATCACGTTGATGAGTCTGTTCACATAATTTCATTTTTATTTATGATTTCTTCACGAAGTTTTCAACCTTTTTCACTGCAATTTCCGTAATTTTTCACTGAAATTTTGTTGATTTTTTGCTGATTTTTGTTTCTGGTCATGATTTGATCACAAAGTTTTCCAACATTTCACAATGATTTCACTCCTCTTTGTAGATATGTTTTGCAGTATTCTTAGAGTTGTTATTGAATTCTGTGAGACAATAGGGCGAGCAAGATACAAATAGAAAAGGGACATTTGTCACTCCGAATATCTTCCTCGCAGGTCTCACCACTTTCAGACCCTCTCCGAACATTCCACTTCCACAACAGTCGCATACTCCCTCGCTAGAACAAAAGAGTAAAATTAGTTCAAATCACTCCCGAGTTAAGCAGAATGTCAGGTGTAGAATTGTAGAAAGTTGCAAGAGTTTCGAATCATGATTATTGTTTTATTGACATATAAAATAAAAAGAGAAAAATTTATTAAAAAGAAATATTTTTAGCTAGAACAGCAAGTTTATAAATATACAAAAAGATGAGAATGTCACTATGCCAACTTTTTTGCTTCCGCGGTGAAAACTGAAAATAAAAATCATTTTTCATAGTAGAGTCAATCCCACCATTCGCAGGCGATTTACTTTCCATTTACCAAATGAAATTGAATGGAAATTTGAAACAAAGTATAAAATTAAACCGTAAAAAGTACATTTGATCGAGAAAATCTTTTTTTTTTCCAAAAAGAAATCCCACGGCCTAAAAGAATGTCCTCATTTCGTCCAATAATAGTTTATATATAGCCAATAGACAGTTTCAAAAGAGTCAAGGAATGCAAGGAAACAAAAACTGACTCTCTAATTTCATGTTAAAAATACATGGCCTTGAAGAACAATTGCAATTGAAGAATCAATTAAATGATTGACACTTTTTAGACAAACAAAAAAAGCTTAAAAGTCTCACGCGCTTCCCACTAGACCATGTACGCTAAACGATCGACAAACACTAGCCACAATGTAAGCAGAGAGCAGATCCTATGAAATTTCCAATGATACAGATCGTGCTTAGAGCAAAAATGCTACCAAATAAGTGAAAACTTTTAAAGAACCCTTTTATTTGCGAGTTAGATTAGAAAAAAAGAAGGTTCGTACAAATACACTACGCTGATCGCAAATGTAAACTGCTTCTGGAACAATTTATAACCGCTAAAGTAGTTTTAAACAACAAAATTATTTAAAATATCATTTCTGGGCTTCTTTCCTCTAAAAGTGCTTATGTGACGCCGGGCGAAAAGAAAAAGAGCATTTTTGAAAAAGATTCTATCAAAAATCAAAGGGTGAAAAGATAAAAAGCAGAACATAATCGGTGAATGGCAAGGACCAGTATTAAGTAATTATGAGAGTACAGCAAACAAAGCAGAAGCAAGGTACTCAATTAGAAGAAAATTATTAGCGGAATATTGAATTACTATTTATTTCAGCAGTTAGTCTTATTTCAGTTGGATTTGAAGGCAAGCAAATTGAGAACCAATGATATGTTTACAGCCTTAATCAGTCAATTAAACGCTAAAATGCCTTCATTTTGTTTGTTTTGCTCGTTATTAAGTTCAATGTCTAGATCAGACCTGTCTCCTTGTTTTCCCCATAATCATTAACTTAAGAGTAACTTACGGTTTTAGCACGTTGAGTATGTTTGAGGGTAGCTTCTTGCTACCCGCATGTATGTCTATTTTGCTGCGAGTGATCACTGCACAACACAGATCTTTCAGGCTCTAAAACAAAAAGGGGTTTAGATATTTCAGAAATCACAGATTTTTACTGGATTTTCCGAGATCTGCAAAAAAACAAGGTGATAATGTCATGTCGACTTTTAAACTAACTTGCAGAGTGTTGCCTTTGGTTGGGACTCCAGCCCGAGTATGCTCAATTGTATTTTGGCTCTCCCTCACCCAACATTTCGAAATTTGTTTTTATGGAGGTTTTACGTGTAATTATAACTGAATGCGTGATGTTACGATACAAGTCATGAAGAATATATCTGTTCCTAATAACTAACTTATTCATCCAGTAAAATTTCCTTACAATTTGACACTAAGAAAACGTTCAATTTTTTTTTTCAAAACTCCC